TAACTACTTTAGGGGAAGTCTGGATTTCTTTTTCCTCTCTTCAGGCCTCTTAATTTCTTGCTTCATAAAAGGCCTAGAAAGTAGAGCAAATCCTACATGCTGTGGTTCAGAGAATATCAAGCGATCTATAAGGAAAATATAAATTTCTGGTGAAAGAAATCAAACATGAACTAAATAAATGAAGAGATGTTCCATGTATCTGGACAGGAAGACTCAATGTTTTCAAGATGTCAGTTCTTCCCAACTTGATCCATAGATTCAATGTAGTCTCAATCAAAATCCCAACGAATTATTTTTGTGGATATTGACAAACTGATTCTCAAGTTTATATGGAAAGGCAAAAGACCCAGAATAGTTAACACAATGTTGAAGAAGAACAAAATCAGAGAACTGACACTACCCAACTTGAAAACCCACTATAAAGCTTCAGTAATCAAACAGTGTGGTATTGGCAAAACAATAGACAAACAGATAGGTGGAACAGCGTGGAATCCCAATATAGACCCACATAAAATAATCTTTGACAAAGGTGTAAAGACAATACAGTGGAGAAAAGATACTCTTTTCAATAAATGGTGCTGGAACAACTTGATATCCACATGCAAAAAAATTAGTCTAGACACAGACCGGATACCCATCCTAAGAATTTCCCAAAAGACCCACCAACTCTTCAATAGAAAGCATCAGCAAAGTTTGCGCCCTAAGATTCCCTGAATTCCTCACCTCAAAACTCTTACCTTGCTGCTTCCACCACTCCTGGACTGTTGTATCATGATTCTTACTTAATCCTAACTGAGTCCCCACACTGAAATCGCCACTTGAAACCAAACTTCTAATTCTTAATGAATTCTATCTTTGCCTTTTCCCTCTGAGACACTGCAAAATCACTGTGGAGATGTTCTCCCTTGCTGTGATAAGTAATACACTCAAGCTTTGTTTTAACAGCAGGTTGTGTTGGTGATACTTGGGGAGCTGATTATATATAATATATGTTATTTAGTATGTCTTGATGTAGATGTAGTTAGATACATATACACACATACTTTGCATCCGTCAGTCACATGAAAAATTATAATGGTTAGATCATAGATCATTATTGGGTCAAGGTCAATATATTTCTATCCAATAGTAACCAAAATGATAAAGATTGGTTGGCAATTCTCAATCCTGTTCAGTCTCTCCACAACCCTCCTGCAGTCCAACATCTCTCTGGGAGGTAAGTTATGCATCTGGAGAAGGTAGATCACCCCAGGGTTGCCTTCCAGGCCCAGACTCTCAGAGAAGGTAGGGAACTAATACATAAATATTAGAATTATTCCATTCCATTATAATGGAAGGGAGGGACGAATGGGGTAAATGCAGTCAGACTACCCCCAAGGGACAAACCAAGCAAACTGAAGTGGGGCAAGAAGGGAGGATGCACAACAGTCATCAACTCCTAGTGGCTAAGAGCTTGGTAAAGATGTATTAGTACATCATTACCATATATTTAAGTAAACATTACACACACAGTACACATACTCTATGTACTGTTGTCATTATCTGTATCAGTGTTTCTCAGCTAAAAATATATTTAAGGGACCTCTTTTAAAAGAAAAACATTCTCTCATTCCCAATCATTTATGTGAATTCTTTTTATAATACTATTTCTTAAATGTAAACAAACATACAACTTAATATGAACTGTGCTCTTCATAAAGCTCTTAAACAAATTCAACACCAAAATAAACTTAAAAATTATGCACAAACACAAAATAATGTTTATTTAATGTAGCATATGATGTTTGCTGAGACAGAACTGCCCTTAGAAACCCAAACATACTACTGACTGGCCAGCATGTGTTCTTGACTGTCAACGAGCTTGTATGTGTGTCTCGTGAGGATTCTCTTTTCCCATCACATTCCTCTTTCAAGCTACCAGAAAATCTTCATTTGTATAGTAAGCCATGAAGTAGGAGGTTCACCTCATTTACTTTCTCACTGGCTCATGACAATTAAAGTAGTATTACCTTGTCCCAACTAGATTTTAAAAACAGACTCAAGTGCATGACCTAATTATGTGGCATCTGTTATCATTTAGTCATCCAGATACTCCAGAATATGCTTAAAACTGAATGTAAAGGTAAAACACACTTGTAGAAGACTCACAGACTCTGTCATTGGATTCTAGTTTTAAAAAGCATGGAAACAACCTTAATGTCCATCAACAGATGACTGGATAAAGAAGTTATGGTATACTTATACAATGGAATACTACCCAGCCATAAAAAGGATAAAATAATACCGTTTGTAGCAACATGCATGCACCTGGAGATTGTCGTTCTAAGTAAAGTAAGCCAGAAAGAGGAAGAAAAATACCATATGATATCACTTATATGTGGAATCTAAAAAAAAAAGACAATGAACTTACTTACAAAACAAAAACAGACTCACAAGACATAGAGAACAAACTTATGGTTATGGGGGTGGGGGGAAGGGATAAATTAGGAGTTTGAGATTTACAGATACTAACTAATATATAAAATAAACAACAATTTCATACTATAAAGCACAGGGAATTATATTCAATATCTTGTAGTAACTTATGGTGAAAAAGAATATGAAAACAAATATATGTTCATGTATGACTGAAGCATTGCGCTGTACACCAGAAGTTGATACAACATTGTAAACTGACTATACTTCAATAAAAATGTATATTAAAAATCACTGTCCTGTTATAGTATGTATAAAATATAAGTGTAAATGAGAGTATTTTGTTAGCTTCTTATTAATACTTTCTGGTACTATTAACTGAGTACCTACATTATTATGCAGCACTGGACTCTTCCTTCAGTTGGACCATCAAGTCTCTTGTTTGTGAGAACTAAGCCATGGCCCATTCGGTTTCACTAGTCCCAGGCCCCCGAGAATTGGTGCGTAGGGGGCCATAGGTCAGACTATCATCACCCTCACTTCTACGATCTTTAAGTAAAAGAAGACATACGTGTTCAGCAGTAGGGTAAACTGAAGCAAGACAATACATAAATTTTAAAGGAATGGTTAAGAGTTGTTTTCATTATAAGTTGCATTGGTAGGACAAGACACAGAGTTTAAGACTGGGGCTCATGTGACCCCTTCTCCCAACCCTCTTTCTCCTTACCTTCTGCATTCTTTCGCCGTTCCCCTCCTTTTTACCTACTTTAGTTCTAAGCTTCTCTCAAGATTCAATGTGATGTTTCTCCATAAACCTAAATATATTTAAATTTTTATTGAAGATTGTGCCCTTATCATTTTATATGAAAATATGCTTCCTTTTATAAAGTAGTAGTAGGTAGTTTAAAAAATTGTCCCTATTTGGCAAAATAAGTGATTGGCAATCTTGTGTTTTCCTCCGTCTATTTTTTAAAAATTTACACATCCGAGATCTGGAACCACTTGTCTAGAAAAACAGAGAAAAGAGGGAAAAGATAGTAAGAAATAACAGTATGTAGCACCTAGTAAGCTGATTTAAGTTGAACAACTTAAGCGTCATAATATATCTTACACGGGAGCACTGGCAGGAATACCTAAGTCTCATTTGGGAGTCAGGGAAGGCTTCACAGAGGAGGTAACGTTAGAGCTGGGGCTTTAAGGATTAGCAGGGCAGAAACGGCAGGGCATTCCAAGCAGAATACATAATGCGAGCAAGAGCACAGAGCACAGAGCACAAAAGAGCACTACGTGTCCAGCAACTCTGAGTAGCCCGGTGGCTGTCGCGCAGAGTTTTTCGGCTTAGGTGATCAAGGGTGAGACAGGGACTATTTCTCCCTACTTGGCCCATTTTCCCTGCAGCTCATTGCACAGTGCTGGGCACACACACACTACAGGAGCTCAATAAATACTTGTTGAATTGGGACAGGGTGATCGAGTGTGCTGGGAACTGAGGCCTCCCGATTTTTTCTCACGCACCCGCGGTGTGACCTTGGCCAAGTCCCTTTTCTCAGCGCTGCGACTTGCTGCTTAGTAATCAGCGGAGGGTAAGAAAGCGGAGGAGGAGGTTGGCCTGATGCGCCTGGGCCCTTCCAGCCCCTGGAATTCCTGATTCGA